TTTTTTTCTTTTTTCTTTTTTTTTCTTTTTTCTTTTTTCCTATTTATTTTTTATTTTTTATTTTTTTCTCTTTTTTTCTTTTAATTTTTTTTTCTTTCCAGAATCTTGCTTATGCATTCCCTTGGAACCAGGACCTAATTCCTGAAGGTGTAATACAAGGAAGAGTCAAAGAGAATTATTAATTTGTTATTTATAAGCAGTGATGGTTCCATTAAAGGTTTCAGCTGATATGATGTTGAACGAAGCAAAATCACCAGTTTTAACGTATTATTCTACAGTGTGGAAATGGATATATTTCCCATTTATTTTCTCATGGATATAAGGTATAAAATCCAGTGAAAACGTTGCATGGAGAGCATGGATGGGAGTGCAAGCAGTGCTGCCACCTCTTCCTCGGGCTGGAAGATGTGTATTATAACTGATTTTGATACCACACCTCCGTTTCCCAGCTGGCCCCAGGCAGTGAAATCACACCGGTCTGGCCTTGCCATTTTTAGCTGCAAGGGCCAGATTCTGAAGGAGGATTCAACCCTCAATTAGGGACCTGTGTGCAACTTCCCACTGTTCAGAGGCTTTCAGGGATGAGGGAAATGAGGTGCTGTACATGGTCCCTCCTGCCAAACTTCCAGCTAGAGCAAATCCTCACAGCCAAGCAATAAATCCCCCAAACGAAAGGGTTGTGATGGAAATGCTGACAGACCCTTAACTCGCACCTCAGCAATGCCAGCCTTGCCACTCAGTACCCATGAGCTGAACCAGCATCGGGGCAGGACCCCCGTGGGGAGCCAGAGCCCTTGTCCTAGAAAGTTGTGCTGCAGGGCTCTGGTTTTTCATTGGATTTTATGGCGTTTCTAACAAATTTTGTTGGTCAGACTTGCAGGCAGGGATGCTCCTTTGGGTTTTCTTGAGGCTTTTGGATGACCATTGGAAGATCATCCGTGGAATGTCATCAAAACCCAGTTGCTTTCATAGAATTTCAGTCAAGGGATATCATGAGTCGGAAGGGACCCACAAGGATCATCCAGTTCACCTCCTGACCCTGCACAGGACACTCCCAAAAATCTCACCATGTGCCTGAGAGTATCATCCAAACCCTCCTGGAGCTCTGGCAGCCTTGGGGCCATGCCCACTGCCCTGGGGAATGTGTTCAGTGCCCAACAACCCTCTGGGGGAAGAACCTTTTCCTGAGATCCAATCTGACCCTGGCCTGACACAGCTTCAAGGAATTTTGGTGTCCTCATTCTCCACAGTTTCCTGGAGCTCTGCCATGTCCCCTGCTGGCTGCCAGGTGCCATCAGGTGCCCTGGGATGTCCCTGTCACACGGAGTGCACAGCAAACCCCGTGTCCCACCAGGAGCACCCAGCAAAGAACATAATGGCGATTTTAACTTTGGTTTTGATGTTTTCACTGTTCCCCCCTCCCCAAGGTGTGCAGGGATCCAGGATCCCACTGCAGTGCTGCCTTCCTCAGTGTTAGGGCACCCCTGTACAGTGCCCTGCTGATGCCAAGGGGAATTTTCTCCCAACTTTCACGGGTTTAGGCTGCGCTGGGACCTGCAGAGGCTTGTCCTTCTCGTGTGCTGCTCAGTGGTTCGTGTGTGCAGGGTTGGAGGGTGTGTGAAGCTCGGCCAGAGGACGAGTCCTGACAGGCTGTAGCAGGACCAGGAAGTGCAGGGGGAGGCAGGGGTACATCACCCCCAAATTGGGGGGCTTCCCCCAGGGTGTGAGGGCTGCAGCCTTCCCCAGTCCCTGCAGGATGCCCTCCCCTGCCCTGGAGCCGAGCACGGACGTGGGTGGGTGACACACATAGGTAGGACTGGACTTGAGATCATCCCAGTGCTGTGATCTCGTTACTGTCATGACTCTCTGAGTCACAGAGTGGTTTGGGTTGGAGAGTATCTTTAAAGGGCATCTAGTCCAACCCAAACCATGGGCAGGGACACCTTCCACTAGCCCAGGTAGGAGAAATCCATCCAGCCTGGCCCTGAACTCTTCCAGGGATGGGGCAGCCACAGCTTCTCTGGGCAACCTGTGCCAGTGTCTTGCCGCTCTCACTGTATAAAATTTCTTCCAAATATCTAAATCAAGTGCTACCAAGTCACTTAATTACCTTTACTGTTCACAGCTGCTCCAGCACAATGCTCTGCCTGTTTAGGCTTCCCTTGTCAGACCTGGTTCTTACTAAAATCTACATTCTGCAGAGAATGTGACCAGATCTCCTTTGTCTGGGTGGGATTTCATGTCTAGGGAAAGGGAAGTGAAAGGGAAAGGGGAAGGAAAAGGAGAAGGAGAAAGGGAAGGGGAAGGGGAAAGGGAAGAAGAAGGGGAAGGGAAAGGGAAAGGGGAAGGAAAAGGAGAAGGAGAAAGGGAAGGGGAAGGGGAAAGGGAAGAAGAAGGGGAAGGGAAAGGGAAAAGAGAAGAGGAAGGGGAAGAGAAAAGGGGAAGGAGAAGGGGAAAGGGAAGGGGAAGAGGAGTTACTGCAGGGGGAATCCATATGGCTGAACAAAGAGATCCAACTTCTACATTTGGGTCTGGCCATAACTTTTTCCTCCAGTGCTTACTCCCTGTCTACAGTCCTTCGAATTTCCTGCATGTTCTGATTTATTTATTCCTCCTTCCAGCTCGTTCCTGCATTGCTAAGGAACGAATTTGCTGCAGAGAAATTGGACAAACACGCTGTGCTTTCAGGGCCCTACTGAAAAAATCTCCTCTCTGCACCTGCAAACAGGAGATTTGCACCCAAATATGTGTTTGTTTTAGGCACAACATGGTTTCCAGCACTTGCTTTGATCGGGGTGCTTGGAAGCTGAGCTGGGTCACGCGTTGGGTTTGTCCAGGGAAAAAACAATTAGAGGCTTCAGTGTCAGTGTTTGTGTGAACGCTCAGTCGGGGGGAATTAATCCCAGGGCTCTGTCCACAAACAACAGCAAGTCCCAAACCGTCCTGCTTCGCTCCTGCAGGACCATTCTGAAAGGTTGTTTCTGTATCTCAGTTCCTTGCACCTCGGTGGGGAGAGGGGTGTTTTCCCCCTGTCCATCTAAGAATTATCTGGAAAATTCAGATGCTGGTCCTCTGTGGTTTAGAACTGCTGTAATCACAGATCACGGGGAACAGAGGCAAAACTGGTGTCCTAACACCTGTGGTGCCTCTTTGTGCATCCTTGAACACCAAGACCAGGCTTTTGGGCTCAAATCAGGGTTTTCCCAGCGTGTCACACAGTGTGAAGGTGCCGTGGCTGTTGCTCTGAAGCTGTTGTGTATTTTGAGTGACAGCCCTGTGCAGGGTCAAACAGAAGTCCTGGTGCCTGGGAAATGGGATCTTCCAAAACCAATACCTTTCACAAATGAAGAAATCAAGCAGAGGAGCTTGGTGAGCCAACCTCCACGGAGCAGGAGGTGGGATAGGCTCCAGCAGGACCTCTGCAGAGGGAGCCAGGGGCTATTTCAGGTCTCTTCAGTTCTGCTTTGTGTTTTGGTTGGGTTATGGTGCTTCCAGCCATCACCTCCCTTCACGGGAGCTGTGGGGAAGGAAGGATATTGTGGGACAAGCATAGCGAGGGTTTGGCTTGGTGTGTCCTGTGAGGGTGACAACAGCTTCTAGAGACAACAG